TGAACGGTTCAAGGACTACTTGTCGCTAAAGAATATACTCAAACGTACAGAATTGATTATATGGAGACATTCGCACCAGTGGCCAAAATTAATATTATTCGAATCCTATTATCTCTAACGATGAATCTTGATTGGCCTTTGCACCAGTTTTATGTAAAAATATATATTTTTGCATCGAGATCTTCAAGAAGTATATATGTTGCCTCCTGGCTGTAATCTGCAGACTAAAGGCAATAAACAGGTTTGTAGGTTGAAAACATCCATATATGGTTTGAAACAGTTTCTTAGAGCGTGGTTTGGAAGATTCACGATCTTTATGAGGTTTATTGATTACGAGCAAATTAACTCAGATCATACTCTCTTCTTGAAGCATAATGAGGAACGAATCATAGTTCTTATTGTGTATGTTGATGATATGATAGTAATTGGAAATAATCCTAAAATGAAGAATCTTGGTGAATTGAAGTATTTTTTTTCTAACAGGTATTTTGTTCCACTCAGTTTTCAAAACTTATCAGAGGATAAAATTAAACAAAGAATTTTTCTGTTTGTACAGAAAAAAGAAAAAATTTAGACAGAAAATTTACATATACTCACATGGGGGTGGATCCCATGTGAATTAAATATTGCCAAAAAAAAAATGCTCCACCTATTTGTGTGTATTCTGTAGATTTTCAGTATTTTTTTCTGTACACACAGCATTCCTCACTAAACAAATCCTGAAAAGATACGTGGAATAGTAGTATAGCACAAGTAAAAGTAACATTTGTGCTCACGGAATAAATCTATACAGGATCCCAGCCCGTGCAATCAGTCTGATCCCTAGAGCATTAAACGCATGGAGTTGGGTCATTTTTCTGGTTGAAGACAGTTGCTTCCAACATTTTTTTAAATATAAAATTAACGTTGTAACTGTGTTCTTGGGTGCTTTTTTGGTACTTATTTTATAGCTGAGAAAAAGAAAATAATGAAATTGTACTAAAATTATCTCTACAATACTTGATCAGATAGAGCAATGGCCTAATAAATGGTGGCATTATAAGTTGGTAGGCTGTAGTCAGACTCACACAGCATTTCTTGTTTGGTTGTTACAAGTTGCTTTTAAGATGTTATCAATGTAACGTCAAATCGAGTACCCCAAATATATTCGCGTATTTATATCTATCGAAAAATTGGCAGAGTAATAAACCTTATTATATAACAATCAAAAAGAGGGTAAAAAAGTTGTCATGAATAAGGAACTCATTATTCGATTATATTATATAATGTACGCTGCCCAAACAATGATTGGAAGCAATTGAACCTTAATTTTCGGAATTTGAGGTTTCAAAAAGGGCTTCTGAATTTGTTGAATTTTAATTTATACGACAAAAAGGAAGAGTATAAAACCACGTGGGCCAACTACCTAAATACATAATTAATTGACGGTAATGAGACTGAAAGAATAGTTTATATCTGCAACTTGTTTGAGGCAGGACATGGCTGCTTGTATGGTTACTTGCCCACCTGAAAATTAAATTCAATAACTTGAAACTGAAACCAACAACGTGACGGGCCTTTCTCACTCTTAAAAAAACTGTTGGACCGTTTTTGGTTTAGGGATATATTGAGTATTTTGTCGCATAATACCAGCCGCCAGATCGCCAACGTCGATTTTTTATCATGTTTACGGTTCTATTGTGCTTCGCCCATCTGTCAACCCATGAATTCTTCATAACGGGCCAATGGATCAAGGGTCCTTCTGTCGTCGTTTCAGTGATTCATAGGACTTCCTCTTTCTCATTGTAAAAAAATGTTGGACCATTTTCGGTTTAGGGATGTATCGAGTATTAAATCGTTCTAATATTCTTGGAACTTTTAAGAGTTTATTTTTTCGTTAAGCATAGATAGAGGCGTTAATTCTTCACAGTGAGCTAGTAGACATACTTGTTTGTTTTTGGTTCTTTTATTGTTGTCTTGGATAAGAAATAGAACTTTATTTATGACAAAATGTGTTTTTTTTTCTTTTTTGCTCAACTTTTTATCGAGGATTACTCCTAGGGTGTTATGAAATGGAAATTTTTCACCATTAGTCCCTCAACTATGGGCCTTGTTGTGATGTACTCTCCAACTTATTTTTTTATATCAATATCTTTCTCAGCCCATGTTTGATTTAGTTAAAAACAAACTTTTAATAGATTTTAAAAGAAGTTGGTGAAGTTTGTGGTTGAAAAATTAATAAAAATTCTGAATATCATGAAATGCTATTGAAAATGAATTTTAGATAGTAAAGGTCAAATAGGATCTCAGTCTATTAGTTTGAGGCGTTGCTAGTTTTTAATGGATAGAACATATCCATTCAATATGAAAATAAGCCATTGTTTGATAACTATTCTTTTTAATTTTCTCATACTCATTTTCAATCACATTCTCAAAATAAAATATTTTCACGTAAATCCAAAAAA